AATATAAGTATATCCATAATATAACAAAAGAAAATGTGTATACATATTAAAAAAAAAAACAAATAAACAATAAGAAAAAAGAAAAAAAAATGTGCGCCAAATGGAGATACCTCAGAACAGTGAAGAACACTGATCTGTTCATCCGGCACCCCATAAAAAAAAATCTATCAACTAACTAAACTAACTAACTACTAACTAATGGTAAAAATAATAAACTTAAAAAAAAAAGAAAAGAAACGAAAGGGCCACGAATCAACTATTACAGTGCAAGCATTACGAAAAACCAGCAATCATAACATAGTGTGTATGGAGTCTCGGAGAAAAAAAAAACAACTGCGCGACCTAGTCATTTATTCCAGGTCAGAAAGAGCCCTTTGATTTTCTTCTTGAAGGAGATACCACCAAGGTGCTGGAATTCAGGAGGAACAGAATTATAATAGGAAACAATGGTGTAAGAAAACGACCTCTTAAACAGTTCAAGCCTGTGACGCGGTATTGCCAGGTAATCTTTTTTACGTATATTAACGTTGTGAACGTCAGTTCGGAAACGAATTCTTTCATACAAGTACTGTGGTACCCTCTTATTCAGCACATGGTGGTAGAAAACAAGGGCATGCAACCTACGACGTGCAGCCATACGCAGCCAACCGATATCCTCATAAACATGAGATATTCGATCGCGATTTCTCAAACCAGNCTCTTTGCCAGGTTTTTTTAGAGGACATTCCTTTACAATAACAAAGGACCAACGTGTTTCGACGCTATGGAGACCTGTACAGGGTGGGCCAAATTGGACACTTTTAAAGGGAAACTCCTCTTTCTATAAGAGATAGAGGAAAAATGATTTCAGTGTCTGAGGTTCGATTTTTATAAGAAACTTAATGGCGAAAACCGCATATCGATATCTCTTACGGTTTCAGAGATACAGGTGAAAAGCGCGTTTTTGAAAAGTTGTCATAATTTTTTTCTTATTGATAAATCTTCGTTTCTCTGAAAACATTTCCAAAGCAACTTTCTAAGTAGAATTCGATGGAATAAGTTAGTGTTCCCTCAAAGCAATATTTTAGTGGTTATTGACATAAAAATGATTTTTTTAAATGAAAAATATGAAAAATGGGACATGATAGTATGTTTTATACTTTGATTATATATAATATGGATTGAGCCAACGAGAGAGATAGNCTCTTTGCCAGGTTTTTTTAGAGGACATTCCTTTACAATAACAAAGGACCAACGTGTTTCGACGCTATGGAGACCTGTACAGGGTGGGCCAAATTAGACACTTTTAAAGGGAAACTCCTTTTTCTATAAAAGATAGAGGAAAATGATTTCAGTGTCTGTGGTTCGATTTTTATAAGAAACTTAATGGCGAAAACCGCATATCGATATCGCTTACGGTTTTAGAGATACAGGTGTTTTTCAAAAAAGCGCATTTTTGAAAAGTCGTCATAACTTTTTTCTTATTAACAAATCTTCCTTTCTGTGAAAACATTTCCAAAGCAACTTTCTAAGTAGAATTCGATAGAATAAGTTAGTGTTCCCTCAAAGCAATATTTTAGTGGTTATTGACATAAAAATGATTTTTTTAAATGAAAAATATGAAAAATGAGACATGATAGTATGTTTTATACAATCTGGTTAGAATACAGAGACTGCAGGAAATTTATATCATGAACGATATCCAGAGAGGCGGCAACCTTTTAATGATATTTTTAGAAGATTGTGATAAAATCTACAAACTAGCGGCCAATTCGAAAAGAAAAGATCAAAAACTTATATACTGAATGAAGACGGGGAATTAGAAGAAGTAGTAGTTTTAGGGTCAATGGAAAATTAAAAAAAATCAGATTCAAGCCACTGAGAACTAGCAAAGTCCATTACCTCAGACCAGGAGATCTTGAAGGGCGCATGAATTTTTGCCAATGGCTCTTGGGAAAATGTGACGAAGCACGGAATTTTTCTTTAAATTGTATTTGGACAGATGTTCAAATCTGTTGTCTGTTAGATAACAGATGTTATCTATAAAGAAGCCACAGTTGTGAACGCTTTTGCAACACTTAGGCCCATTGAGCTTATCAACTCGGCAAAAAGGGCGAAAAAAAGATGTCGACTGTGTATAACACAAACCATTTTGGGGACATTTTGAACATTTTCTATAGAATAGGGGTTTACTTTTGTTGTTATTTGTTGCCATATTAATTTAATCTTCTTTTTGTTTATGAGCTTATGTTTTAATTTATTGTAACCAACTATCTTGATACTACTTATAAATATAATATTTCAAAGAAGACTTGAATGAAATATCAAGTGTGCTATATTTTTGGAAAGGAAATTTTATGCTCTCGTCGAATTAGCAAAAATATATAGGATGTTCCATTTAAAAAGATCATTTTTATTGACATAACTGCTAAAATATTGCTGTGAGGGAAAGCTAACTTATTCCATCGAATTCTACCTAAAAAGTTGCTTTGGAAATGTTTTCACAGAAAGGAAGATTTATCAATAAGAAAAAAAGTTATGACCACTTTTCGAAAATGCACTTTTTTGAAAAACACCTGTATCTCTGAAACCGTAAGAGATATCGATATACGGTTTTCGCCATTAGTTTCTTATAAAAATCGAACCTCAGGCACTGATATCATTTTTCCTGTATCTCTTATAGAAATAGGAGTTTCCCCTTAAAAGTGCCCAATTTGGCGCACCCTGTACATGCTTCTGGGATTTTAGTTTTTTCATTTTTAATCTTATATTTAATTATACTAGAATAATCCCAGTGTGAAATTTATGAAAAAGTCAACTTCACAATTTTTAATGCAAAAATTGACCCTGACGGTACTGTGAGCTTCTTTTTTTAACATCTTGAATGGAAATTTATCTTTTGAAACTCGACTTATGCCGAAGTGACCCAACACTTCCACTTGAGCGAGCGGCCTCAATTAAAACTCTCGCCTGATTGTGTTTTGTATTTGGAACAGATCCAGTCTGAACAACTTTTTCAATAAGATTTCTGACATATCTAAGAGATACGACAGTTCGTTGAATACCTTAATTTTCATTTAAATAACTTTGGGTTGATAACAGTTTATAAAATAAATAACAGTTTATACTAAACCAACAGACAATGTATTTCCAAACGGGGAATACCGGAATAAACCCGGATATAATTCACGTTTTATGCTATTGCCTGTTTTTTCGTTTATACCATTATTTTTTTGTTCCGTTACACACATTGAATTAAATAACGCAAAATCGATGCAAAACGTAACAAAAACATGCATTTTTATTTTCTAAATAGTTACAAACAGACCACGCGATTATTTTTTTCTCTAGTTTAGAATTATTTGTTAAAGTCTTTAATATTTCTTTTTGTTCCGATGCTCCTAAAGTAGAGTGACCAGCTAGAAATACAAAACAACAGATTTTCTTAAAAGCCTCGTAATCAAATCGATCATTATCGACTTGTTATAACGCTTCGTCATTTCTGATTCTGCTTCTCCTGTGATACTGAGGAGAAGAATCCAGCTGTCTTCCCAGCGTTTTCAACGCTTTCCTATTGGTGTTTTTGTGTATGTTTTGCCATTTATTGTTGATACATGTTCGTTCCATTTTCGTCATCTCTGCCAGACCCATTTGACAATGTCCTGGGAGTATATTGGATGTATATCGGATATTACGATGTTTGTAAGGACGGGTCTTACGCATGCCTTGTATATTCTGGTCTTGCTGGCGATTGATAGATGTTTACTCCTCCATATTAGGTTGCAAAGTGCACCTGATATTCTTGTTGCCTTAAGGCTTGCTTTGTGACGCTGCCCTTTAGATCCCCATATGCATTGATTTATAACCAAGATAGTCGAATTGGAACACCTGCTCAATGACCGAAATGAATGAAAATATAGGTTTTAAAAGATCTTTAAAATGATGTATTACTTGGTACCCTCCTTTATTTAAGATTTTTAATACTCCTCGGTAATATTTCTTACAAGTTTGAACGATTTACTCATAAATTTCCAGAAATTGAGGTTGGAAGTGAACTCTGTACAATGTTAATATGTTATTAGTAACACTTTATGTTTACGTTTATGTATTTATTCGTTAATATTAAACAAAATCGATTTCTCGACTAAAATAGAAAATGGTTAAGGAAATTTTCTTTTTGTATTTGTCGTAAAGAATGGCGTGGCATAGGATGGTGCTAAATTAAATCGATTTGTTACCACGATTACATTCATCTTTCATTTTTAAATTTATGGCAAACTTCGCACCCGTGGTCGTTTTGAAATAGCTTTTATATCACTTCGTCTGTCGTTAATACTGGTTTCATCATCCTCTTGAGATTACTAATTTTATTAGTTTCTTTTTTTTCTGTTTGTTGGGCAGGCAATATCTGTAATTAATATCGAATATGTTAGATCGCTCTACTTCGTTATAAACTGTTTCCGTGTCATAGGGGCATAATACAAGTGTACAAAAAAAAGTGAAGACATCATAGAAAGATAAGAATTTATATGAAAATATTTTTTTTGATTTAAAGAAATCTTTATAAAAATAAATTACATAAGTAAAATTGTGTAAATATAGGTTAAAATCTGCAATTTTAATACGAGATAATAATTGAAGATTCATAAAAATCTTGTTTACGTTTAATTCTGCACGTGGAGGTATCAAAATTGTTGTCATTTTTATGATCGTCACTTTAACAGCAATACAAGATTTTTTAAAATTTATTTTATGACTTTGTTTACCACATGAGGCGCTATGCATGCCCCACTTGTATTGCCGCCCCTCTCCACAAAACAGTCCCTTCGAAACATACAACACATAATAATTGTGTTTTTGACCGCTCGCTGGGCGAGATGAATTTTAATGAACTTTTATTACCTTAATACAGATGGTAAAGTTGCCTTGTTAACTTTTAACTTCAACTTCTTAATTAACGCTTATTGTGTGTTTTCTTTTTATTTGTGTTTACTTTTCATTTTTAATTTTCTTTGTTACAGTTGCCCAGTCTTGGATCATTCAACGAAAAGGTAAGAAATCTTTTTTAAAAAATCTTTATCTTAACATTAAAGACATAACAGTAAATTTTTTTGGTTCAAAGTTTACACGTTTTGTGACATAAGCAGATGTGCGTTTCGTCAAAATCATTTTCATTAAAATCTCGCACAGCTTGTTATCGAGTTTATCGAGAAACAGTCGGAAGTTCAATATAATTGGAATGCGAGATAAGGTGTGTACCGCATGCAGTGGTTCAAGTTTGGTTCAAAACTATATCTACATGTTTACGTTAAAGTCTGTGAAGCTTCGTAATCGTTCATACAAATAACTTGTTTTTAATAATAGCCTTTTTACAAACTGCGAGACTTCAAGTTTTATAAGTTATGAAGTTTCTTTTCACCGGTAATTGTCGGTGTACACTTGAGTTATGTCATGTGTATCATTCAATTTCATGACGGTAAAATTAATATTTATTGCCGATAATTTCTACCCATATCCTCTAAATAAACCTGTTAAAGAGAAAATATGACTAAACAGTACATCATAATTAATTCCAACGTAAGTGGAGGCGGACATTTCGTAACCAACACTCTCCAAACTTGTATTGGAAAAACACTCTTTGTAAAAAAATAATAGCTTTGGGGCATTTTTTATTCATATAACAAATATATCCTTGAAATGTGCGTTTTATAACATTGTTATGTTATCGATTTAAATTTATTGCAATTCCTTTTTAGTAAGAAAAAAATTTAATATTCAGTTTATTGCTGGAATACTCTTCAATCGTAAAGTGCAATCTGAATCTGACTCACCCAGTGATTTTATCGTTTCATTTTTTATTCTCTTTTTGTAATCTTCGTCGAGTCACCAACAAGTAAACATTGCGTGATCATTTACCTTGAATCGAATTAATGCTTTAATCAGATTAACTTTAACAAAACAACTTTATAAGAATTTTATATACCCAATAACATTTACTCCTATTTATTAATCATAATTTATAGGTGTTTTGATCTAATTTGATTTAATTTTGATTTATTTAGCATTATAAATTAAAAAAATATTTTGTACCTTTTTATGCGAATTGCTAAAAATTGCTTATTTTTGAAAGATTAAATTCCACACAATAATAAGTTGATACACTATACTTTTTTTGTTAGATATTGCACTAAATTTGGAAGTGACATATTAAATCTGCTTCCTATACTCAAAATCAATAATTTGTATCCCTTTAATTTGGTTTATAGGCTTATATTGGTTTAATGAACTGCCACTCTTGACACGAATCATGTATTCGTCGATTAATACTGACCCGCTACTGATAAAATTTAATAACTGATCATCACTTGTATAATTTATCATGGTTTAGAGTATCTTCATAATCGCAAATTTATATATTTCGATAGATATACTATAGATTACTTTGAAATATATTGTATATTAATAATACTACAAAAAATACAACGTTTTAAGTGCAGAGTCGCATTGCAGTTGAAAAACTATTGTTCATATCAAAGCAAAGTCATCGAAACGACAACCTTCCAGGAGACTTCTACAATGCACAGCACGTCAATATTTGTGTTAGCTATCTTATATATTGTAATAAATTCATGTTTTCAACCTAGTTATGTTTATAAATCAATCAAATTTCTCAGCGACTATTTAAATGTTGTTAACAAATGGCTTTACAACCACTTCTTTTTCCTCGCTTTTATTCTCCTAGCGGATGTTTAGAAAACATATTGCAATCCTTACATTTTTGGCGAATCCCAAAGAACATCAATTATAATCACAATTAGTGTCACAAATAATTTATTAATATCTTTCATTACAAATACATTGCAATGTTACAGTTAACAATCTCTTTCTTTGGCACATTTCACAACTCTTATTAAATTTGCTTATTTATCACTTGTTAGTAAAGACCCAAGCACAATTATATGCAGCATTCAGTTTGTTCATAACATCTACGCCTCCTATTGTTTGATTGAGGTCCAATATAATTTCTGGCTTCCTCAATGCTATCTTCTTCAAGATGTATAGTAGACAAAAGCAGAACACTTTGCCAGGTATATGACCAAAGTGCATTTCTTTTGAAATGCAACAATTATAGTTTTTTCAGGACTTTTAGTTTTGTTAGCGCTAGAGGTAATTGAAACTTCTTTTTTCTTAGTATGTCGATCATAGTCAGTCGATATTCACGCAAAAGTAATTCTGCAAGGTCTGTACTTGTAAAAACGTTGTCAGTTGTAACTTTTCTACCTGTACCCCACATGGGTTTAGTGAAGTTCTTCGTTTGAGAAGTTCTGTTCAGCATTTGTATCGTATTTTAATACTTCTACATCATCATCTAGTGGACTTGACTTGTCATCATCTGGCTGGAGGGTCAGAATCTGTTACAACCTCGTCAAAAAAGCGCTACAACCTTGTACATTACATAAGGCAACATTATAATCTGTGCTCACAAACCTAGTGTTTTTTTTTTTGAGGTTTTCGTAATTTTGTCATGCTGCAAATTTGTCAACGTCTTTGGGTCCGTGATTTTTGAGCAGCAGTTTGTGGAATAATACTTTACTACTGTTTCACGAAGTAGACGTGGTGCTTTTCAATTACTTCTTGTCCAACATCCAGCTGAAACTAGGAAAAGAAGGATTTTCATGTTCTGACTTGGTATAAGTGTAGGAATTGTACAATGTGAGATCTAATAAATGAAAGAATAGTTTTTATACCTCCTGCGCATTCAACAAATCTTTTTTCCATATCAATTTTGTCAACCGTTCTCATTTTCATATTATCTCTTCTAACACACACTCGTGTTTTTGTACTTGTATCTTTTTTCTGTAATTATTCTGTATCTTAACAGTGGACTTCATTGTTGCTTTATTTATTGTTGTGAGCAAATAAACGTATTTTTTGTCATACCATTTCATAGCCAACATATTTCTCGCATTCGATTTTTCTTTGACCACGGGCATCTCTTTTCTGATGGACTTTATTGTATCATAACGTTCATTTTAGTGTTATCAATAACATGTAAATTATAAAGTAAAATCAGAATATCGCGGAAAAACTATTTCTATTGGAGTGTTATCAAAGAATAATTTGAAGTATTCAGAATCTGGGACGTCTACTTCCAGGGGAAAAAAGTTTTCACCAAATTTTCAATCAAACGCAGCACTTGGCTATATTACAGTATGTTTTCTTTTCAATTTACGTTCCGATTGTGGTATATGAATATTATTATCGTTGTCGTCTGTATCGCTTTAATCCCAAATAGCAGCAGCAACGTCACTTATCGAATCGTCCGTAATTTTATCCACCTCTTATAGTAATTCTTGCGATTGTAATTTTTGTGAACACATCATGTTTATAAAACTTTGACTTATTACTGCAAATAAACATCATACTGCAACCCAAAGAGCACGAACGAAGATGAAGTTGAGCAATAATTGTAAGGAATTGTGCATTAGCGCACTACATCTGTATAGTTGTATTATATTTAGTATTATACAACCGTTCTGAAAAAGTTAAGGTCTTGGATACATAAGAAGTCAAAGAAATTTTATTGTGAATTGACTTGAATTAATGCCAGGGATTGGTTGTAGGAACCTTGAACTTTTTGGAAAGATGTTGAGAACTTCATTAAATGGAAAGTACTCCACAGTTTTTGGAATTTGTTGGAAATGTAGGAAAATGGGGTTTGTGCAGGCTTACTCGTGCTCTGCATGTACCTGCGCATCCTTGGAGGCGGTTAATTTGCTGGATGGCTCTCATTATTTAGTGCAGCTTCCAGGAATAACCCTAATCGTAGTACATAGACTTTTTGTTCACTTGATACGTTTAAGGTACTCCTGACACCTCCTCCATTGGGTGTGTTGGCCCTTCACATGACGCGTTTGATAGCTAACTAGCAGATAGTCGTTCCGCTTGATTTCGAGGACTTTATCCATGTTCTGCATTAACTAGAAGTGGAGGAAAAGCTAGACCAGTAAGTATTTGCTATTACATCTTACTTTTCTTTGCAAATGGTGAAGGATGCGGTCTTGATAACTGTTTTTATAGTGTTCCTACTCTTGAGGGAATGTGTATAGTGGTCGAATTCTGTCATAGTCAGAAACTCTCAAACACCTTTTTGGTCCTCTTTGTCCTTCTTGGTTTCTCTTCTTCTGTTAGGTTTTCCATCTTAGCAGCTGTTATATCATCTTATATGTGTTGGTTGTGATGACAGTTTTCCAGAATTTTATCTGATAATAATGTTGGCTTTCGCCGACAACTGAATGTGATTAGCCGTTGTACCTTCACCATGTCGAGTTGACTGACAAGGGTTGTTTTCCCCTCGTTACGACCTTTGTATTCATAGATTTTGTACTAGAGGATTTACCGGGGTCTTTGAGTCGCGATGGTTTCTAATTCCTAATTTATGAAAAATAATGGAAACTACTTGCTTTACTTTGAACCGAGCAATCCTGAAAATTGGGAGGAAATGTTGTTTATTATAGAATGTATTGTGTACATGTAGTTAAAAAATCAATATAAAGATTAATGAACTTATAATTACATCCCTCAAATTCTTTATTTTTTTAATAGGGGTTTTATTTACTAAAGTTTTTTAAACGTTTTTAAACAGAAACTCAATCGGGTTTAAATCCGGCGGTCGAGGAGGTCGTACCTGATGACTTCCTCCATCAATCCATTGATTTGGAAAATTGTTGTTCAAATAGTCGCGGACGATTAAACTAAAGCGCTTCTTCTTGTTTCTAAAGGGATAATACAAACTATATATTTTTATATAAATATTTCGGCGGGTAACCTTTCCAGGAAAACAGCATGTAATTTCCTTAATATCGTCATTATACAATAATCGATTATTCTAAGCAACACATTAATACAAAATTTATATTATTAATTTGTTTAGTTGTATACAGATTCTTGTAGGCCAACAACATTTTGGCAAACATATTCTGTTACATTCAGAAGCCATTACAATAGTTTCCACACCTGAATAATTTACATTTCCTGTTATAACCACATT